AAGAAGAGGACAGTGAGAACAGAGCTTTTAACCCTGAGTGGACGGACTCGTTCATGTTCCTCCTGCCCATTGGGAGCACAGAACCAGTGTGTCTCATTTGTTCAGAGACCGTGGCGCTCATTAAAAGTGCCAAAACGCCACTATGAGACAAAACACAAAGTGTTTGACCAAACATTCCCTCTCAAGTCAGAACTGAGGTCACAAAAAATAAGCAGTCTCAGAGCCCAACATGATCAGTCCACCAGGATCAAAATTAAAACTAAATATCGTTCCAGGCTAACCAATGAGCACATGCATGTGTGTATGAGAATGGCCCTGACACCATTTCAGCCCAGATTTAAACTCCTGGCAGGACAAGCTCGAGCTCAATTCTCGCACTGAATTAAAAAAAAGTGAGTGAGGGGCTGCAATATCAGAGGGAAAGAAAGAGAAACTTTAAAACTGTTCAATTGTTATGATGTGTAAAGACTGATATTGTTTCGTCTGAAACTGTTAAGTCATGATGTGAAACGGTTAACAAAGAAAAAGGGAAACTCAAGCTGCTGCTACACTTTATTTTATTTATCTAACATTAAGCACTTTTAAGATGCACATATTTTCAAAAGCTATTTTATTTATTTTCTCTATTTTATTTTTAAATGCAGCCCGAGAGGAACATTACACATATCCACAGTATGTTACTGTATATCTGTATAGTTCAATGTTAATTGACAATAAATGTTGTTGTTTATGAATTGTACTTTCTTTATTTGATTGGCCGTCAGTTGTTGATTACATGCAGACGTTGATAAAGCTGCAGGCTACTTCAATATCACACTAATTCATAAAACAACTTGAACATTTTGATGTTCCGGACCTTTGCATGGGGAGATTTTCTCTAACTGGACCTCGTTGAATTTTAGTTGAATACCCCTGACCTAGTGTATGAAATGTGCTATACAAATAATGCTTATTACAAAGGGTCTCCCATATGTTTGATGTGGCAATCACTAACGTTACATAATCAATGTTATGTGGGTTGAATTGAAAAAGGAATAGATATCAAATATGCTCTTGTCTTCAGGCAACTCCAGCTCTGAGATGTCATTCCTTCGCTGACAGGGGAATTGCCCACCCAGAAGTGTCCACAAATATGTTCAAAAACAGTTTAATCCTCTTTAAAAACATAGGGAAAAAAATGCAAATCATTAGGATCAACACCTTAAATGTGGCTTTTAATGTAAAGTATGGGTTACACTCCCTTCTCCAGCTGGTTGTGTAAACAACATCTCTATAAAGATGGTTATACTACCAGTATTACTGATATATTATATATGTCAGGCACACTCGGTTAACCCTAGTGAGACTATCCACAAAAAGGATGCTTAGATTTAGATTTTGACCAATAATAAAAAATGGCATGGCTCCGTTGGAAACCTGTTAGTACAGCACAAACACCGGGTAAGTAAATATCTCCAGCTGAGTGTCCTTTCTCTATAGCGTTCCTTATCTTAATGTCATCCAGCGAGCTGTGCATCCCTCTGTTCCTGCTTTATATAAATGGCCTCTGAGACCTTGAGAGATGTTGAACAAGTTTTATCTTTTATTTTTGTTATTATAATGGAGCAGAGCTTTGACCCTGGGAGAGACAGCACTGGCAGCTCTCCACAGGCCTTGGCTTCGGCAGTCGCTAATATTTCACATCCATAACACTTTCGAGGGGAAGCAGGGGGGAAGCAGGGGAGTAAGAAACTCACAAATCATGAACCCATACTGTCGAGGAAATAGTTCCTGAGTCAGTCGAATAATATTAGGTAACAAATGTAATGAAAAAAAGGTTTTGAGGGAACCTTTCCACCAGAGAGACGTACAAGTTTAATACTGCGCTTTATAAGCTTAGTAAGGGGGTTCCAAAACAGCCTTGCACAATCCTCAACAATTGCTGCTTATACTTAACACCCTTGAAGCTTTGTATGGAAATATATTGAGATATTAACTATTCTTTTATTCACTTTCTGCACGTCTTAATATGAATCACTCAGTTCCCAAGCCCAGTTCTTCAAGATTGTCTGTTAAATTCTTCAAAGCAGTTAGCAGTAGTCACTTGCAGAGCTGCAGTGCTGATGCTCAAATGGGAACCTCATGTGCATTCTTTGGAAAAATAAATAAGGGCACAAATGAGAGGTGGTAAAATGTCTTGTATTTTCCTCTTAGAGGTGTTTCCTCTACTTGAGAGCGAGCCATTACATCCAAAGAGAATGGCTGAGCTGCTGGACTATGGGAAAGAAAATAAAGCTGTCGACAGAACCGCTATTTTTACTTATTTACCTTGTGCTTGTAGGGCGCTTCCTTAATGCCATATTATGTGTTGGTACTTCCGGTTAAGGTGTAATTGCTATTCATTTGCATAGCGTAGCCAGCTTTCAGGGATGCAAACACACGTATGGTGAAAAAAGAGAGAACTATTCAAAGCAGAAAAAAAACTGCGTAATGTACTATCTGACAAAGGCCTGCGCTATAATGCTTCAATTAACTGGCTATTCTTTATAATATACTCAGATCAAAAGGAGACAGAGATGTTAAGTTATAAATCAAGGGTTTTTATTATTATTTAGAGCAGTTGTCGGGAACCTTTTTCCTCTCAAGGGCCATTTCAAGTTTTACAACATCCTCCGAGGGCCGTACAAATGATTGAACTCAACCTCTGCTTAAAAAACTAAAATCACAGCCCATTCATTTGGCCTTTCTTTCATGCTGTGTGCAAAGAAAAAGCAACCTCTTAATCCAGATATTTTACCATGACTTGCGCATGCATGCACGTGCACGGTTGTGGCATGACCACCAAAACTGAAAGATATGGACACAAGATGTATTTAGTATCCTATCCATGTGGACATAATTTAAGCGGGGGGGGGGAACCTCACATTCTCTAGGGATGTTGAAGTTAATAGCATCAATCTGGTGCACTTTGAGAGCAACATTAGGAGATCTATGGATACATCTTCTCCTTCTGGGTACTGCAATATTTGAAGTGCTGGAGCGGCGTTCCGATACTCTCCGTCAGCTCTACACCACGTGATGACACGTTAGGCTCGTGTTGTGTTCAAGGAACCTGTCCTTGGCCAGGAAAAACAGGCACTCCCCTGTTTAATTCTTTTGCGGTCTAGATTTCTTAAAGGTCCCATGTCATGACCATTTCTACTGATCATATTTCCGTTGTTGAGGTCTACTAGAATAGATTTAAATGGTGCAATTTTCCAAAAACACATTGGTTTCTCATACAGCATCTCTGTATAGTAATTGTATTCACTCTCTGTCCTAAATGGCTTGTTGGAGCTCCTGCCCCCCCTCCCTGTGAGCCCAGTGTGCTCTGATTGGTCGGGACGTTGCGAGGCTCGTTGCGAGGCTCGTTGCGAGGCTCGTTGCGAGGCTCGTTGCTGCTCGCTGCTGCTGGCGAGGAGCGGACAGGTTTCCGGGCCGGCGATACAGTGAGAACAAGCAAAACTCATCCTGAGCACACACAAACACTCACAGCCGAAGTAAAAACAATAAGTGTGGCTTGATATTGAGTAAGAAAAAGGTTTATAACGCTGAGAGAATGGGTCTGCGGAGAGCATTTCTCCGCCATCCCAACTCGTCTATTACCAGCGTTCAGGGAGCTCTATGCAAGTCAATAGATCCCTTGGCTGTTAGTTAGCCAAGGGATCCTGGTGTGTCAGGTGCTCCGCGGATTGGTCCATTTGGGCCAATCCGGTCATTTGTTGTTGATTTGGGTTTTCACACGTCACAGAACCCAAGAAGTAAACAATGGAAAATGAGAAATGACCAACGAGGCGTTCTGGGGCAGCATAGACAGGTCTTTTCTGTGTTAGAGTTTTACTCGCTACAGGGTGTACTTTGAGGGTTTTTGACTCTGCAGACCGTTTACATGCATACAAACCTTCATAACACACAAGGGGACGGGTAATAACCGGAAAAGCATGACATGGGCCCTTTAAGCGACTAATTTGCATGCATGAGCTTTATCAACCATTACTTGCCAAAGTATCTGTAAGTAAGCTTTTGAACAACCTTATGAAGTTACAACAGTTTTTCAGGCAAGCAACTCACTATTTTGATTACTAATATGTGATTATTTTATCCCAAAAAAACATATATTTGAGAATTTACAGCGATGTTTGGAGCTGTGAGGCTAGCTGTATGAGAGACAATATCTGCTAGCCAGATTATTAGCTAGCTTAATAGCACACTGACAGGTTAGCTGTGAATGATGTCGAATAAAATGAATTGTGTACAATGTTGCTATTGCTAAACCGGAATAACTAACATATACTGTATGGGTTTGAACCAGAAGTAGGAGAGGGGCGGGGTTACATAAGGTGAATAGTAGGATTCATTTAACAAAAAAATCATCCGTTTTTTTTCCATACACTGTTTTCTCTATATACTGTGTCCGTGTTTGAGCCATCATTTGGACCAAAAAATAAACCTGAGCACGAACCATGGCAGCAGTCTAAGGCCCAATTTAAAATCCAAATTGACATTTGTGACACTATCTCCAATATGCACCTTCTTCCGCCTCATCAGCACACATACATTATGACATGACAGACATTTGCTTTGAAAAACAAAGAAACTCTGGAGATTTGCTGCAAACACGACTGTAGTGCTGCCTCTCCTCCATGAGGCCAAGCCTTTCCCAAGACAGGGCTTGATGGGACATTTTTCAAAAGCTATTGGTCCTCCTTACTTCAATTTGGGTTTATGTCATATGCATGTTGTTAGCTCAATGACTTATTGAACTATGGAGACCAAAGGGGGAGTAAAGTGAATGTGCTGATTATTCCTGCAGTCCACATCACTTGAGTTCTTGGTCCTAGACGTTCTAATGAATAATGATGTGGAAGAATGGAGGAATAGGCCAAAGGTTTGAGAAAAAAACCAAAACATTCTTCTTTGTTGAGTGTAAGTGTGTGTGTGTGAGAAATAGTATAAAGTTGTTCTTTTCTTAGAAAGCTCACCTTTTTCGCCAGGCCCAGGGCAATGTAACACTTCTCTCCAGCATCAACAATCTCCACTTCGTAGTAGTGGCAGCGGGTGGTGAGTGGCTGGCGGGCCTGAGCCAAACCCACGTCCATGATGCTCTTTCCCTTGCCAACATACTCCAAGAGCTGAGGGGGGGATAAACAGAGGGATAAACAAAGAAGAATGGGGGTTAATAGGTCAGGAAATAAACTGTATAGACTCATTTAACACCAACAGCTTAAGATGTTTCCCGACATAACGTTCGTTTAACCGTAGACATGCTGTTGTGCATGTTGTTGTGATTGTTGGATGAAACCTTTCCAAGTTTAAAAAAGTGCCTCTGACCAATATTAAACCAACAAGCATCCACTTCTGGTAGACCTCCCACTTCACACAGCCAGATGTTTTGGAGGTGAGTAAATTGGCAGGATTAGAACTGCTCTCTCAAGCATGTCTTGGTCCACCACTGTGGTCCAGACTGAATATCTCAAGAACTATGGGATGCATTGCTATTAAAGTTTGTACAAACATCCATGGTCCGATTATGACTTTGGTTATCCCCACTTTTTATCTAGCACTAAGATAAACAACTCTTGGATGGATGGCCATGACATTTGGTAACGGTTTTCATGGTGCCAAGAGGGTAAACCCTACTGACATAATGGATCCTCTGACAATGAAAACTGCCATGGTCCCAGTTAATATTTTGATTGCCAACTAATATTTGTGAACATCTTGGCAAAGTGACACCATGTAAAGTATGCTAAATTAGCCATTTTCTGTTTGCTGTGTACCCATGGATGTCACCTATCACTGGAGTTGTTTGATACTGAAGAAAAGTCAAAACAAACCTAAATATTATTAAGCATCTTCTTTTTTTTCATAATTGAAGGAATTTTTCAGGCCAAACAAAACAGTTTATCACAATTCTTACCCTCAGGTACCTCTGTTATTTAATTGTTTCTTTATTTACTTTATTTGATTAGTCAGGCAACCAGGCCCAAAGTGCCGGCAGTCTCTGGGAAGTGGGAAAGTTGAGATGGAGACAACAGATTGAAGACACAGCAGATCAAGCTTGGGCAGGATCCCCGGCCCACTGTTGTTCTCGTGACGAGGGACTTAACCACGCAACCAGCTTTTGCAACTGGGTCCTAAGTGAGTGGGCAACATGACAGATTGACACTTCAAAACCCAGTCAAACCCAAACTGAACCGCCCAGGGTGACTCTCCTGCAAGTACCAACAGCCATTAGAGATTGCATGTACAGAACCTGATGATAATGCAATTACTTTCAGGTCTATTTTGATCTTAAGCATCTAAACAGGTGAAGATGGGTGGGTACAGGTGAGTAGGTGGGCAGCTAAGCAACCACAAATCCTTTAGGCTGAGCCGTGTTTCCATGCCATATGAATGCATGCATTTCATTGTGTGTGCAATGCAGGATCCTCCCGAATATAAAAGGCTATGACAGACATGGTGGGGGTGGACGACATTCCTCCTGTATTAAGCCTTTATGTTTAAGCGTGTGTAATGGAGAATGTTTTTAGCCAGAAAGCACACACCTGGTGCAAGCAGCTATTCAACATCAATGTAATAAAAGTCAAGTGTCTCAATTAAGTTATTAACATTTCCCTTTTAGTTTTTCTCCCTGTTGCTTAGTGATGCATCAAAGTGAAAATAACTTTGAGATGAAGCAGAGGCCGCTCTAAAGCTTCATATCATATGAGTTTTGTAATGAGTTAGTCTGGTTGTTGAGAAAAGTAATTGATAGTTCAAGAGTAGCTGTATAGTGATAGGATAAGTGGCAACACTAATGCACTGTTAAGTAACACTGTGTTCATAATGAACTAATAATGATTGTACTGTATGTGAAGCGTCTTTGAGCATAAGGAAAGGCGCTATACAAAACACATCTATGATTATTATTATTAACTATCCAGAAGAGCTACAGTAGTTTTATATGTAATGAAACATTTTTTAAACTCAAAACCATGCAAAAAATCCACAGCCTATATTTGACCTAAACTTAATTCCAGGTTTTCAATAGACATTGCTAATATAAGAAGTATTTTAGGAATTCCTTAAAATAACTTTGGTACCTCTTTTCTTGTAAAAACAAGGTGAGGACTCAGTAAAAAAAAACACTCCCGGTGGTCAAAAACTCCACTTGCTCCCTTTGAGAGAAACACACATCAAACAGCCGCAAAACTGAAGCTTTCTTTCGGCGAACTCGTGCCAAATTCCTTGAAAAATAATGTGCAGGCCATCAGACAATGAGGTGATTACACCAAGACCAGTTAGCCATTCAGGATTATTAAACTAAAGCCTGTGTCTACAGTCAGCGCTTGAATTGGAATGAAAAAGGTGCCAGTACTCTAAATCAGCAACTGTTTCAAGTCAATTTATTTATACAGCACAAAAACAAGAATTTGGCTCAAAGTCATAGTATATCCTATAATGCTGGTGGGTTTGTCTCTTTACTGTATATTTTAGAAAGGCTCACTGTACGTAAACAAAATGACTCGGGGTGCATCTGAGATTAGAGGGGGTGCAGGGGTAAAGTGCTATTTTTATAAGCGGGGAGTGGATCTAACACAAGATTTTTTTGTCTACAGTTACATCATTCCATCAGCTATAGGTGTCAGCCTGGCTGCAGATGAAATGGTCACAAATGGATCTTGACAACAGAAATGGTGAAAGATGTATTGGCGGTAGACCTCTGCAGCAATAATCTAAAGCCGGTGTCTGTACCAGATGTGTTCGGGGTACCAGATGTGTTCGGGGGCCGTCTCTTACCAATGACGTCACGCATTGTACGCATTGTGATTGGCTGTACGGTAATTTACCCAGGGGTGCTCGGGGGCAAATCACATCTACAGATCATGACGAACCGAATTTAAGTATTCCTATACTCCTAGCGTGTGAACATTTTTGTGAAAAACATGTTAAAAAAACATGAAAACGGAGCAATGGCTGTACGGCAACTCAAGAGGACCTTCATACACGGTCAAATTCCGAACATTTAAACATAGCCTACACTTAATTCTTTACTTTGTCCGTTATTATATGTAGAAGATCCGTGACGTCACCGGGCCCAAAACAACTTTTTCCCATTGACTAACATGGGGAAAGAGACGTCTGTAAATCGGTGGATACTTTTTATAGCCCTTATTAGAATCATTCGGTCCTTAAAGTTGTAAAATGCACTAAAAGCCGAATCTAGATTTATTTTCTCTCTCCATTCATTCTACTCAAAGCCCGCTGCTTCTACTAAGCCGAGAGTGGGAGCTCGGGGGGCGGGGCTTAAGGGGCGCATGCTCTGTGAGTGCACATACGGGTTTTTCTGCTCTGACAGCCAGGCATGAAGGGTAATCTGTGACGTTTCGCTCTCTCAAAAGTTCGGCCATTTTGTCTTCCTGCGCCAATGAGCAGCTCTCATAGGAAAAAACGAGACCCCGCCTCCCTCGCTGTATCCAGTTCTTATTATACATCCATGAACTGGACCTCTTCGAAATATAATTGAATACCCCTGATCTAAAGCCTGCCTCCATAGTTTTCTAGATAAAACGTTTTGTTTTTTTAAACCCTGAGAAAGGCTGGAAGCACATCTAATCTTATGGTGATTCTTGGTCATAAAGAAAGTTAGTTCTACTTTCTCCCTCGAGTGCTATTGCAAATAGAAATCTTCACACTTCTGGAAACAAAAGTGTTTCTTTATAGTGTCTTTATGGTACTCTGCTGGTTAATTGTTCACATGGGTGACAGTTACATTGCGTCCACCTTTTGTATTACAAATTCCCCTTTGATGTGTACTCTTGGGTCTCCTTAACCTGCTGCACTTTAATGCCTGGACAACAACATTTATTTTTGGGAGATGAGGGAAAGAGTTTGTTTGCAATAAGCATTCAATCCCACCTTTCTTTTGCTTCTTGCTGCCGAGTAATAGAAGCAGGAGATAGAGGGCAGGGGAAGAAAAGAGACGTCGTAGCCTTGAGCAAAACATGCCTCACTGAGATAACTGACAATCTCCCCTTTTCTCTTTCACTCCTATAATTCAATAAGAGTGTTGAGAATGGTAATGGTGGTGTGCAAGGCCGTGTTTTGTTGAGCTGCTGCCTGGGAAACAGATGCAACGCCCAGAGAGTGGTCCTGCCAAACCTGTCACAACTAATGGGGAAACTTAAAGAAGGGTGAAACTGAAATTAGGAGACCTCTTCTGTATTATGTGGTTTACACTTGTCAAGCAAACTGTGATAAGATTGTACATCACGCATCAGCTGATGAGTCAATATTACTCAGCCACTTAATCTCGTCTTCATTGGATTTGTATTTTGACATTTCGTTACATCTATGTTTTCCATTGGATTTGATTATTTGTGCATTTCTGAATTGTTTTTTTGTCCTTGGTCCTGACTATTTCTTCTTTGCAAAAATAAATACTTCAAATATATGTTTTATTTTTAATAAAATCTGGACATTAAGTATCTGGGTCACATGTGCCACTTTAATAAAGAAAATATATCAGAAAGGCCTTGTCCTTGTTCAGAGGATCTAAATCATTTCTGGATGTCCTCCAGTAGCTGAATCTGACTTGTCCATCAATCACTTTTCTGTGCATAAGGTGACAAAGATGAATATCCTGATGGATTTAAAAACACACCATAATACTACAGCTGGTTACAGCCATTCTGTCAGTGCGGCTTCTTTTTCTTGGCTAGCAGTAAACAGGTTAGGCTTGTACTGAATGGATCAAATAGTGCGGATGCGGAACGGTGTCAAAATACCCAAACCATGTCGTGACACTGTTTACATTACTATGAAACGAACCTTAGCTTGTTCTTATTAGCTTTGCCTCAAAACCTATTTCATTTTAATGTGAACAAATGTTTTTGTTCACATGAAAATGTTCAAAACAAATCACTCACCATTTACCGAGTTTTTAACAACTTTCTTGTTCAAGCGTGTGATGTGCGTAATCAGAACTACTTCTGCTGTGGGACTGACCTTGTTTAACATGGGTAGGAAGCTCAAGGACGCACTTAGCAGCAAAACCTTACACTAAAATCAAAGCAAAACCTGTAATTACCATAGCACTGACACAGTAAGTGAGGTGGAGTCAGGTGAACAAGGATCTACTGTTAGAAGA